GAAGGTAGAACATCACAAAACATAACATCGGGTGGAAAACATGATCAACTGAACAATCAATGCATGCAGATAAGGATCTTGTTTGCTAAATCAATGAGAAACGTTTACTTAACATAATTTGACAAAGGTATCCGGAAATATCAATAAAACGAGTTATAAAAATTTTGTCGTTGAATGGAAAATATTGATCAACTGAAATAATTCATGCAATTAAGGATCCTATTGGCATTATCAATACCAAACTTCTATTCTATAGTGGTACTTGGCGTCTATATGAGACCGTGAAACTCTAGTTATGCGGTGATTGTGTGTATTTATTACACAATAGTGACGGTGTCAGAGAGTCAACAAAACCAGCTGACGGCGGAGTACCTGAGGCAGTGGAAGCAGTCAGTCATCACTATCGACAAGACAGCCGCAACTCTTGCAAATGTCTCCGACTGGATGGATCGGGTAACTAGCAAAACTAATGCATGATGAAAGGCCGACATTTGCTTTGGAGCAAATGCAGCATGGCTTCACCACATTTCACGACATGGCAGGGAAAGAGGGAGAAATACAAGAGAAAACAATGCTTTATATTGATATAACTATAGTATGAAGTAATATATAACCAAGAATTCAACAGTTTGGATAGCTATCCCTACATTATTGGTTAGGATTTTTATTTGCATAATGCAAACTTTCTCATTTTCATACATGCCTTTGAAAAAAATTTATGAACGTTTTTGGGGGCATTTTTCAACAAAAAAAATGATTTTTGGATCCTGAGCCCTGGTATTACAACCAAATGATCTGGACATGTGAAAATGAAATATTATCAAAGGGTAAGAATTCCTCACGCAAAATATTGCAATTTGAGTTTAGAAAACCATAAATTAAATTGTTAATTACGACCTTAAATCCATATCCCCCCAATAACAATTTTGAATAAACTCGACATATTTCATGGTGGTATGATTTGATTTGATTTTATTAGTTTGCACATAAACAAAACAGACAATAATAATACAAAACAAGGATAAAACAAGTGCAGGAGGAGGGGAGAAGCATGGAATGCTTATACAAGGCCCTCCTCCTCTAAACTATACAAAATTAAATATAATCAATAAATTGAAATAATATAATAGAAAATGGAGATAATACAGTAAGGATAATCAAATAATGTACGGTATAAATTAATGACAATGAAATAAGGTAATGTTACTCGTAAGAAAATTCAAACTCTACTACTGGATCAGTTAACGGATTTATTTCCGGACGTTTCGAGTGACATCCATCACTCTTCTTCAGCATCACAAATGAACAGAGAACCGATTCACTCTTATATACAAGTAACTAGAAAAACCGGTTAAACAACAAGGTCTGTAAGAAGCTTTATCATGTAAAAGAACGGTTCACGCAATATACAGGTAATTAGAACTACAAAAAACCTGTTCAACAACCGTAAGAGTCTTTGTCATGTAAGGAAGGTTCCTATGGTAGGAAATTACCATAGGAAAAGTTACTGTCCCTTGGGCTGATACTAATAGGCATCTTTATGACTCAGAAGTAAGAAGTTTCCAAACTCTTAGGGTTGAAGGCAATGGTTGGGAGAGGGCCAACTGTCACATGAGCATATCGGCAGAACGTACTGCGCCTGTGCAAAACCCTGATTTTTCACAGTTTTCGTCAGATTTTTGGTCAACATTACATCAGAATTTTGCCTATGTTGCAGATGATATTTTTTTCTGACATTTGAAAACTACAGACGGGATGTTAATACCTTACAAACAATTACGTGAATACGACCTCATATGAGACGTTCTGCCGAAGTGCTTTGCACAATACATTACTGGTTTCACGCTGGTGCAGTATGTTCTCCCAACATGCTTGTCACATGTACCTGTGCTCCCATATTTGGTCCTGATGCCAGTTTTTCAATGTTGTTTGTCAGGATTCGGTTCCAGCCCAGAAGACCACGTGTACAAGTGGAAGAGGAGGAGGAGGGAGACAGAAGGCTGACCTTCAAGAGTCATCAGGGTGCACACACCACAAAAGTGGACCTGCCTCTTTCTGAACTAGGTAATCATATTAATTTTATGTTAGAGTATTGGAAATATTTTCTCTCAGACTCAGTCCCCAATACTCTCAATGGTAGTATTCTGACAGAAACGCATGTTCATTGTTCTTCAAGGCATTGTATTAGATAATTCTTGTTCCTATTCCTCATACATGTATGCTAGTATTTAGTGCCAATTGAGTCCTGTATTTGTTGATTTAACAGTAATCTGTTATAAATTTAATCATTATGTTCTTTGGGCTGGAACCTTTCTGCAAAGTTATATGATAACAGTTAAAGGCTCCAAATTTACAATGTACATTTTTATATCTTCTTGCTGACGGAAATAAGGCAATTACACCAGAATGTGTGTTTTCTGAAAATGATTTCATCAGTTTGGTAGAATATAGGGATTAATATACAACCAAGGATTCTGACAGACATCGAAATGTTAGTAAGGTAGGAAGAATCCCTGGTTGTGTATAAGAACATCCCTGTATCCCAGAGTATGTGGTCTGTGTAACACTAACCCCATTCATTTTTTCTATACGATTAAAAGGGCTATTCGATTAGAAAACTGTCTATTCAAATCGACACCGAATCCACAAGAGCGTTCGCACTGCTTTTCGCAGATACGGCAAAACCGGGCGCCATTTTCTCCTTAATATGTAAGTAGCAGCACACGTTCTACGCTCTGATTGGTAGGACCGCTAGCAATGACGTCACACCGCCCGAATCCAATTCACTTCGTGTTCACACTCACAGTTTCATCCGATTCGAATCCGCCGCAAGTGTCTCAAACCATTTTGGATTATTTTGGAATCAATTCAGGTAAACTCTAAGTAATTTGGAGCATTCACACTCCAAAAAATTATTCAGACAATTTTCTATTTGGTTAGCCCTTTTAATCGAACAGAAAAAAATGAATGTGAACAGGGTCTAACATCTTCCTGTTGCTCCATTCAGGTCTGATAAAGTCCCCAGAAGACCAGGAGACTCGTGACATGGGCTACAGGAGACACGCCTTCAACCTTCTCATTAGTGATCGCATTGGCTTCCACAGGAACATTCCAGACACAAGGAATGACAAGTAAGGAAAACTAGCAAAATATCCAACTTTTCCAATACAACTTCTGTGGAAGGGAATTAATTATAAGGTACATGTAACTGTTGTGCTAGTAGAAATCGTCATCATTTCAGGTGGCTCACCCAGACCAAACCCAATCTTTCTTGCCAAGAATTCTTGTCTTTTATTATGCTTTTTAGTACATAATGTACGCTGACATCCCTAGGAAATTTGATCAATTAATCCACACTAATTTAATTTCTTGGTCCTCGGATTCGCTTCTTCATTTTTTTTCTCATTTGACAAAAAAAAAACATTGTGGTTCTGAATTTGAATCAACTCAAGTATACTCATATTTTGCCCCCAACAGTTGAGAAAAGCCCTTTTCTTTCTAGTTGTTACAGTTTTTCCATCTATCAATGCAGTGGTTTGATGGAAAGTTCGAAATTCATTGTTTAGATATTAACCCAGCTTCATATTTTTTCTGAAAAAATCTGAGAACCAACAAATTAAATTGGTGTGGCCTTAGATTGCTCCAATAGCTAGTAGAAAAGAAAAACTGTATACCGTGCTCTGGCTCATACAGGTGCAGAGGAAAGTCTTATCCCTCCAGCCTGCCAAAGGCAAGTGTTGTCATCTGCTTCTTCAACGAGGCGTGGTCCACCCTGCTGAGGACCGTACACAGCGTGCTGGATCGCACACCCCGGGATCTACTACAGGAGATCATCCTTATCGACGACTTCAGTGATCAAAGTAAGGAACTAGACAATTCTGAGTACGTCGGCAGTACATACTGCACCTGCGCGAAACCCGTAATGTATTGTGCTTAGCACTTCAGCAGAACATCTCATATAAGGTCGTACTCGCATATATAAGGTTAACATCCTGTCTGTACTTTCCAAATATTGTGTCGGAAAATATATCGTCTGCAACAGGCAAAATTCTGATGCAACGTTGACCAGAAATCTAACGAAAACCGTAAGGGTTTTGCACAGGTGCAGTACGTTCTGCTGACGTGCTACAATGTTGTAAGGTCCACACTTCCACAATAGCAGCTATCTCTGTAGGTCCACTTGTCATGCTTCAAAACATATCACTTTGCTGATGAACTGTAGAAGAGTCAGCCAGGATGCTCACAAAAAAATTACTTTTTAGCAGACTGCTATTGACATAGACCCCATAATGATATACTGTACTAGTACTGTAAGCATTGTAGTATGTCTTGATGTCCACTTGGCCATTGTGACACTCATCCTTTCTCTCATATAACTGTTAACTGTAACTGGCTTTTTGCAATTTGTTGAGCATCAGCATATGAATGTAACTTCTTTCTATTATTATTATTAGTATTAAAAACTTAAATGCTCACCCTTGTTGTACACAGGTCACCTGAAGGAGGAGTTGGAAGAGTACATCAGAGACCACCTTCCCATGGTGCAACTGTACAGGACTGACAAACGGGAGGGGCTCATCAGGGCAAGGGTCAAAGGAGCGACACATGCATCAGGTCAGGGTCTACACTCACTCACTCACTCACTCACTCACTCACTCACTCACTCACTCACTCACTCGCTCACTCCTCACTCACTCACTCACTCACTCACTCACTCACTCACGCACTCACTCACACACTCACTCACTCACTCACTCAACCACTCAACCACTCAACCACTCAACCACTCACACTCAATCACTCACTCAATCACTCTCACTCAATCACTCACTCACACTCACTCAAATCACTCAATCACTCACTCAAATCACTCACTCAATCACTCACTCACTCACTCACCCACTCACTCACACTCAACCACTCACTCAATCACTCTCACTCACACTCACTCAATCACTCACTCAATCACTCACTCAATCACTCAATCACTCACTCAATCACTCACTCAATCACTCACTCAATCACTCACTCAAATCACTCAATCACTCACTCACCCACTCACTCACTCACACTCACTCAATCACTCTCACTCACACTCACACTCACTCAATCACTCACTCAATCACTCACTCACTCAATCACTCACTCAATCACTCAATCACTCACTCAGTCACTCACTCACTCAATCACTCACTCACTCTCACTCAATCACTCACTCAATCACTCACTCAATCACTCACTCACTCAATCACTCACTCACTCTCACTCACTCACTCACTCACTCACTCACTCACTCACTCACTCACTCACTCACTTACTCACTCACTCCCTCACTCCCTTAGTTATTGACCTTCTCATCAAAAGTTGTTTATCATTATTAGAACCTCTGGTATGACAACTTTTTTCAATAAATTGCATTATATGAATTGACAGAACTGCAATATGTTGTATAACATGAACTCAAGGATCAGACTACTGGGTACTGATATCTAAATTTCCAAATGCCATTCTTTTCCAGGAGATGTCCTGATGTTTCTGGACAGTCACTGCGAGGTCAGTAAACAATGGCTGGAACCATTGCTCGCCCGTATCGCGGAGGACCGCACGCGCGTGGTGTGTCCTATCATCGACATCATCAACTCAGACACGTTTGAGTACACGGCCTCTCCGCTAGTGAGGGGAGGGTTCAACTGGGGCCTGCACTTCAAGTGGGACCAGGTGCCACAGCAGTTACTACAGGGGCCTGATGGTGCTGCATCTCCTATCAAGTAAGACATGTCTGTTTGATCAAGTCTTTGATTATTCACCAAATACTCAAATTGGCCTGCTGGCTGCAGCTGGCCACTTTTCATTCAGGTCATGAGGGTCATTTCTAAGTTCATAAATGTACATGCATGCATAAAGAAAAAACGGTGGTGCAATGGCTAAGTGGGTAGAGTGCTCGCCTTTCATTTGGTAGGTCGTGAGTTTAATCCCCGGCCGAGTCATACCAAAAACGTAGCACTCAGCATTGGGAAAGAGTATGGGAGTTCAACACACACCACTACAAGTGGACTAGCCCCCTGCTGTAGTGATTGCACTACTGTGTGGCCCAAGGGCTACTGAATCGAGATGGGTGCCGCCACATGGTGTGGGAAGGACTTTAAACTAACATATACATGCATATACCACTTGCATTAAGGCTATCTATATGCGGTTTTTGTTTATTGTTATGTTAAAAGTCATAGTTTAATAATCTTTATTTTTCCATTTCCAGTTCCCCAACCATGGCAGGAGGTCTGTTTGCCATTGACAGGGAGTATTTTGATGAGATGGGGAGATATGATGAGGGCATGGACATCTGGGGAGGGGAGAACTTAGAGATTTCCTTCAGAGTAAGTCTTCAAAAAATGGAACTCTGCAGTTTCTCAGAGAATGTTCTATCTGCTAGGGCCTAGGAATAAAATCTTGTGTTTCCTGTTTCTGGACTGACCCTAGCATTTTTTGTGTGGACCCCTGCAAGAGACATATTATATTTTTTAAGCTGATCAGCCATTTCTAGCTCCATGATTTGACACCAGAGTGATGAAACATTGTACAATCAGTTTTCCAACTTTGACATTGAAAATAGAAAAGTGGTCATGCAAGTTTTACTTTGATAAACTGTATTGTATAAGTTGGATCACTATATAGATCACCAAAGATCACCAAAGTCTAGTAAAAAAAAGAAGAAGAAAAAAGATAATCTCTACCTACCGGCCCTAATCTTTTTTCCTAGGTGTAAGGAAGTTTGTACATTTACATGCACATAAAGTAAAATTTTTTGGAATCGTTTGATTTTGACTACCTACACATTTTGTACCATGAAACTGATGTAGTGGCTAATTCGAAGACTGCCAGGTATTTATGTGTTGTGTAGCATAAATACTACCTTCAGTGATTGCGTTTGTTCACAGGTGAGGTTAAATAGATTATCACATTATTTCCAGGCTACCGTATATGAATGTCAATGTCTGTTGGTCCCGGGTGTTCAAAGGTTGTAACTTGCAGTAATTGCACATACTGAAGGACTCATTTTTAGCTCTAACAGATTATTATTCCAGTTGAACTGTTTGTTACTTTAAGTCAGAGTGGAAGCAGGGTCACCAAGATCTTTTGACAAAAGAACATTTTGAATGAATTTTATTTTTCCATGCTTGTTTCTTACCAGGCTTTTAGGTAGGATTTTTTTGTTGGGTGTCCATCTTTTCATCTTATGCTATATGCAGCAAAGCTGTGCAGCCACAAGCTTTTTTGAAAGTTGTAATGCTCTCAAACAGTATTGCATTTTGAGAGGCAAATTTTTAGGAATACAGGCTGCAGCCAATTTTTTTTCCTTCGTTACAACATCATTTTTGTATACATAGTAAGGCCGAAGGGAGGCATGTTTGCATGGCAGGGTTTGGGTTTGGGAGTGGAAAATAGAGTATCCTTATTAGGGTGTCCTACCAAAAAGTAGGGATTCCAATTTGTTGTTATTTTCAGTACAGGGAGACACCTAGACACCCCTAGCTAGCTAAAAGCCTATTTCTGACCGTTTGTTTTTTAACTGTCCTGTACAGATATGGATGTGTGGCGGAACGTTAGAAATCATCCCCTGCTCCAGAGTGGGGCACGTTTTCCGCAAGCGCCGGCCGTACGGATCGCCCAATGGAGAGGATACCATGTCGAAAAACTCCCTCCGACTGGCACATGTGTGGATGGATGAGTATAAGGTAAATGTCTCCTGACTTGTCTGTCTCTTCCTGTCACATTGTACACTTTGAGGCTTTGTAGCTGTTGTATTAATAGAACTCACTCACTCACTCATTTATTTATTTATTTATTTATTTATTTATTAAAATTCATCACAACAGTGAAAGGGACGGGGGAACAGGTGTAACACCTTTACCAGCCCTCGTCCCGATACAGCATACAAATACAATAGGCTCAAGTATAAAATAATGAGTGATTTACATATACATATACATAATGAAAAAGCTTAATATATACAGACTACCGAACCCTCAAATCCTGACAAGACGCGCACTTGCACGCAGTGGACCATGTACAGAGGTTGTCAGGTTCAAAGTGATGTTTAAATCTCTCAACAGCAGATTTCACAAGACAACGCTTAAAAGACAGTAAGTCAGACAGATTTAACGTCGAAGCCCCTTTGATGCGAACTGCGACGTCAAGCTTATTCCATTCAGTTACCAGACGTGGTATGTATGACATGGCAAATGTAGATGTCTTACATCGGCTTGGCATTAATATGTAAGACCGGTTACTCCTTGCTGGTCTGGTTGAAAAAGATACATAATCATACACGTTCAGGTCATACATACTTGACAGGGACTTAACGAAAACCATGATGTCGGCTGTCTCCCTCCTATAAGACAGAGGTAGCATGTTTAGGTATAATAATCTGTCCTTGTAGTTAAGTTCACTGACATTTGCATTGTTACGAAGAATGAACTTTGTCGCCCGCCTCTGAACTCCCTCCAAGAGGGCCATGAGGTTACGCGACAGCGGTGACCAAACGGGGCAACAATACTCGAGAAGTGATCTGACTAGTGTTACATACAATGCTTTGCGTATATCCAGGCTGGAATCGTAACCGACAGTGCGTATAATAAAACCCATCATCGAGTTTGCTTTAGCTACAATGTTTACAATATGCTTGTTCCACAACAAGTCAGACTGGGCAAGAACACCCAAGTCGTTCATGCTACTGACTGAACATAGGGCTATATCTGACATGTGGTAGGTAAAAGTGATTGGACTCTTGGAGCGAGTCAAGCGGATTACCTTACATTTAGATGGATGGAATGACATCCCCCACTTGAGACTCCACTCATACATAGAAGAAATATCGGCCTGTAGTTTATCACAGTCATGTAGGTTACGAATCTCTCTATAGCATTTTGAGTCGTCAGCAAACAACGCTACAGTGGAGTGCTTTGCAGTACAAGGTAAATCGTTAATGTACAATAAGAATAGCATTGGGCCCAAGATGGAGCCCTGAGGCACACCAGAAGTAACGGGGAGCCACTGTGAATGACATCCTTCTACCACCACCCGTTGCTTTCGGTTAGTGAGGTACGAGTTAAACCATGACAAAAGCTTGCCGTTAAACCCGTACATCTGTAGTTTGTGAAGCAACCGAGAGTGCGGAACGGAGTCGAATGCCTTTGCAAAGTCCAAAAAGAGCATGTCGACTTGCCCACCTCTGTCGAGGATGGAGCCCACACTGTGATAAACCTCCAACAGCTGGGTGGTTGTAGAACGCCCCTTAATAAAACCATGTTGGAGATCATGAATTGACTCATGCAGAATTGGGAACACCATATCGTAAATGCACCGCTCCATGACCTTGCTGACGATAGACAATAAAGAAACCGGACGGTAATTTGAAACGTCTTGCTTATCACCCTTTTTGAAAACGGGATACATTAGCCTCTTTCCAGCAAGACGGAACCGCTCCTAAAGTGACAGATTTGTTAAACAGCAAGGTCAAAGGGAAAGCAAGTGCCTGGGCACAATTCTTTAACATAAATGGGGAAATACTGTCAGGGCCGACGGCCTTACTTGTGTCAAGATTAACAAGTGCATCTCGGACTGAGTCAACATTAAACTGGAGGTCACCGAGACTGTCAACAACTTTGATGTCAATAGTTGGTTTGCTAACATTCTGGTCGGCTGGACTAAAAGTAGAGAAAAAATACTTATTGAACAATGTAGCCTTATCGGCTGCAGCATTAGCAGTAGAGTTCTGGAGGTATACGGTAGATGGCAGAGATCTGGATTTAGACTTCGCACGTACGAAGGTCCAAAACCGCTTAGGCGCTTCATGCAGAGTGGATGATAAGCTGTTAACGTAGCTTGTGTGCTTAAGAGATAGAAGGTTCTTCAGTTTATTGCGAAGTTCTCGGTATTTAGCCCAGTGTGATGGAGAGTTAGTTCGGTTGGCTCTACGCCAAGCTGTTCTCTTGCGATTTGGACGTCACGTGTTTCACCGTCAATCCATGGAGGCGTAGTTGAGTCTTTCACCCTCCGCCAAGGCACGAACTGGTTGACTGCTGACTGTAGTGTGGATGACAAGAATTCCCAGGCAGAGTCAATGTCCTGATACTGCTCGACGGCCTCGGTTAGTTGCCTAGAGACAAGATGTGCCCTAAGGCCGTCCCAGTCGGCGCGCCGGTAGTTAAAGACCTTCCGAGAAAGGCCACACTAGGCTGTAGTTGCAGTGAATACGGATTCTAGGATCGTATGATCCGTGTCAAATTCGGTCGGAAGCTCCTTGATGGACGACACCTTTTCAGGTATGTTGGTGAAGACTAAGTCTAAGATGTGGTTACAGTGGTTGGATGGAATCATGTTGTGCTGATGGAGAAAGTGATCATTTATTACTTCGCAAAAGTCAGATTCTTTTCCCCTGTCCGTAACAGCGCAACTGTTCCAGTCAACCTTGGGGAGATTAAAGTCACCGAGTACACAATACATTCGGTACTCGTCCTTAACTTTCTCTAAAACTGAAGACAAGTTCACGGTAAATGTTGACAAATCCCCAGAGGGTGGTCTGTAGCAAAGCACGGTGGCCAACTTACCCAAGCCGGGAGGCTGAACTTCGCAGACGAGAATTTCGTCCTTGGGTTCGAGGTCTGGCCTTCTCCGACTGCGTACGTTTGAAGAGACGGCCAGAAGGACGCCACCACCAGCTCTTCCTGCGTGAGTGTGATGACGGTCTTTCCGGTAAGTTGCATAGCCGGGTGGGATAACCTCTTGATCGCGGACATCATCGTTAAGCCAAGTCTCCGTAACAGCCAGAATGTCTGGGCAGTTCAAGTGAATCATGTTCTGGAGCTGAACCAACTTATTTCTGTGCGGACTTCACTGCCTTGACACTTCTTGCGTTTAGATAAACGACTTTGAATAATGAAGGGAGGCGAGAATCCTTAGAACTCATAAGTTGAGAGTGATCACCTGTCGGAACATTCCTAGCGTTTCGGGCGACGACATCAATCAGATTGAATTTGCATGAGAATAGGTGATTGCGTTTACCCGGCCTATTACCAACAACAGTGCTAATTGTACGCTGAAGGTTCCTACCACCTCTGCACCCTCTTGGCCTTCCCCGAACCTTCAACAGCCCGAGAAACCGGAGGTGGGACTTCAGGAAGGGATTTACAGGTAGTGCTGACGACTTCAGGCTCCGAAGAAAACCCACGGAGTACGCAAAGATGCCCTGGGAAGCCATGACACCTCCGGCAAAGTACACTCTCCCCAGTTTCGCGGATCCAACGGGTTTAAAGCAGAAATGCTCGCTTCAGGGGGTCTACATCCACTTAGGACGACTGGAGCATGATCGCAAGGCGTTCGGACACAGGTATTGCACAGAGTGATGTAGAAACGTAAAATAAAAAGACGTATAAACAGGAAAAAGAGCGGAGGTGCAGTGCACCGCGGCCGCTCACAAGCGCCACGTAACACGTAACATAATCTATGCCTCTCACTCAGTCCTCTTGCACGATGTGCGTCGAGCCTACTAGGTGGACCACCTCCTTCCATCTCGATCTGTCCTGGGCGAGCCCCTGCGCTTCTTCGTGGGTGATGTTGACCAGGGCCAGGTCCTTGGCCAGGACGTCCGACCAGCGGGTGCGGGGGGCCCCCCGCGGTCTCTTCCACCCCGCAGACTGGGGGCTGAAGTTCAGGATAGCCTGTGTGGGGTGGTAGTTTATGGATGACATCCTTCACAGACTCCAAATCTAATGCGATAGGGCAAGAGAAAAAACAAGACTTGCCAAAGAAACAAGATTCCTACATTTTCAAATTTCGACATCATAAACCTTGTTGCACAAGAAATGATACCTATATTGTGCTAAGTTTACTGCCAACTATTACAACATCCACTTCTCACTGAAACAACTTTGAAAAATAAAAGTTTTCAATCATTGTCCTACTGGTTTTGATTCAGTGGGAACATCACATATAATGTATACACAGCCACTGCCACATATAAAGGGCATGAAATACATCACTGCATCAAAGTGAAAGACAAAACAATAAATCAGAGCCTTGTGTTGTCTCCTCTCCTTATATCTACCTGCCGTCCACATTCCGGCATGGCAACAGACATCTTTGCCTGTTTTCGGCATGTTGACCACTGTCAGAGGGCCACAAAATTTCTTGTTTCTTTTTCCAAAATCAGGCAAAAATCAATGCACACATTAATGTGATCCATAAAAATTACTTGCTGTGGCCTGATGTAGTTCTAGCCCACATGTACTCAGACAGACACACACACAAACTGAAAACATAACCTTCTTGGCAAAGGTACTACTCCCTGTCTTAAGGCTATGAACTTCATTAAGCTAAAAAGAGATATTTTGTCTATTCCAGGAGCAGTATTTTTCCCTCCGTCCAGAGATGAAGTCTCGACCATACGGTGACATCAGTGACAGGTTAAAACTCAGGGAGAAGCTGAACTGTCACTCCTTCAAATGGTACCTGGACAACATCTATCCTGAGCTGTTTGTACCAGGTCTGTATCTGTATAGCCGGTATAACTGTCCTTCGGCGTAATACTCCAGCTTCGCAGGCACGTGGCGTAGCGGCAGCTGGCTACATTACACAGAATAACTTGTTACACCTAACCCTTGAACATCTAACTCTAGACATTGTTTTAAAGCCATCTAATGATAATGCCCCTACTGTACTTGGTGACAGCGAGTTCCACTCTGCGATGAGTTTTTGAACACCTCAATCCTTGGTTGATAACTCTGGTACTTGAAGGCATGACTATAATGCTCTGCCATTACACCACATTTGTATACATTTGTACTAAGTAGTACCTGGTTATGACCTACGTTCTTGTATTCACAAGAATAATGCTGTTCACTGTTGATCTGTGTGATGTACTGTAGCTGGTGTTTGGTCCTAGCTTTTCTAAACTGTCTGTGCTGGTTTAGCTGCAGGTCGTCAGAAGGAGGTGAGAATGGCGAATCCTTGGGGAGTGAAACAAGTCGGTGTGGGGCAGCTACCACCCCGACCTAAGGTCATCAAAAAGGGACATGTAAGTACTGTCGAGCTGATCTTCTCTGGTTAGAGTTCATGTAGATCACAAGCTTAAGGTTCATCAAGTAAGTAGTAATTCTTAATAAGTATGCTGTTTTAGTTTTTTCGCATCTTAGTCTGTCCAATCGTAGTGTGTTGTTATCAGGCCAGGTTTGTTCATGTCTGGTTCACATGGTGGGAACCACCAACATATTAAGAGAAGATGGTGCTTGAAAATGTATAATTTCATCCGTAATTTCATCAGGTTGGTAAACGACTGAATAGCAAAGTTCTTTCTAGGTTGTGATAGAAAGAACTTTGCTATTCTGTATCATTTCATGTATTGTGCCACTTAAAGTGTTGTTGCTTTTCTTTTTATTGTCAGATCAAGCATATGGACTCAGGGTTGTGTCTGATATCCCAGAATGGACCCAATGAGAAGGGATCACTTGTCGTAGTGAGCGACTGTTTATCTGAAGACAAGAATCAGGTGGGTGGTGACAGTATTACTTAGCCCTCTTTGCCGAAGGATTTTTTAAAGAGGATAGTGCTGATATGAGCGTTCACCATGACATCATAGCCAGAAAGTTATAGTCAAAAAGCGGTTGGCTTATTCACCTATCAATGATTTGCATAATGTCTTAAAATAATTTGCATGTATATGATGTAAGGGAAAACAGCAATGGCTCGTATACAAATAGGATGGTATTATTGCTTTGGTGATGACAGTAAAGCTGCATTGTTCTCACAGTAATAGTTCATCTTTGCAAGCATATAATCTTTCCTTGTTAATAGCAGAAATTGTAACCCATTTTACAAATTATAAATTATCTGCAGCCAAGAGTTGTATGCTTTAGCCGTTGCGATTTTCAATCTTCATGATCAGCCAGGAATGCAAGGAATCAAACCTGTGGCCTCTCAATCTTGTGTCTGTTGACCTAGCCACTCAGCCATTGATGATATTTGGTGTGACCAAATTGTGCTGATGTTTTACCTGTTCCCTGTAGGTCTGGTACCTGACAGATCAGGATGAACTGCAGCTGACAGGTCTACTGTGTTTAGACGTGAACGAAAACGACCCCAAGTCCTTCCCCCGTATCATGAAGTGTCATGGAACCAGCGGCGGCCAGCAGTGGAAGTTTGCAGAAGATGTGAGTCATCCTTACAAAACATCCTCTTTCTACTCACTCTGTATCTGTATCAGTATAGCCGGTATAACCGCCATTCGGCGTAACACACCAGCTTCGCAGGCACGCGGCACAGCGGCAGCTAGCTATATCACACTAAACGGCTGGTTGCACTCGATCTTTGCACATTTAATTGCAGGAGTTGTTAAAAGCTTTCTAGTGATGATGCCCTAACTGTGCTTGGTGGCAAGGAGCTCCAGTCTACGATAGTTCTTGGGATTAGTGATGCATACCTAAACCCAATTTCAGGTTCAGGTCCGGATTCAAGTCCAAAGGTGTAGGTTCAGTTCCGGACTTGTAAGTCCGGACCTAAACCCATGGCATAGACAAACTTGCATGTTGGCAACCTTGCAATGTTGTCTGGGTGAAACTTTGCAATGTTTTCTTCGTTTTGCAGCAAAGATTTTACAATCTACGGAAGATTTTAGGTGGTTTGGAAAGAAAAGGGGTATGTGAAATGGTCTTTTATGGTAATAAGTCCGGACTCGGTTCTTGACTTTTAGGTTTTTTTGGACTTGAACCTAAACATTCTTACAAGTCCGGATCCAAGTCCAGTGAACCGGTATGCATCACTACTTGGGATAGTTCTTGAGTTTCTGCCTGTCTGTCAAGAAATTAGTCTACTCGCATATACATGCTTATGTTGACAGAATAAAAGGCTTCAGGATGTTGTTTTTCTCTGTACAAATTGTTGTTATTTTTATCTCACACTAAGACTGCTTGCAGGCATTTTGTCTTCTTCAGATTTAAACAAATTGTATCCTTCAAAGTTTTGTTATGCACTTTGCGAAGTCTGGCCTATATATGGGAGTATAGCGTATACGAACGCTAGCAAAAATATAAAAAAACACCTCCACATCATGCCCATATTACCCGGTACACGTTGGATTTTCATGGCTAACAATTTCGCAACGTGCGGCTGGACATCGTGGGATTGGCTGCGTGGTGGTCAGACTGGGCAGCCTCGGGTCGCCTAGGGACCGAAAACACGCGGACGCTGGACGCGTTATACAGGTGGACGCAATAGGCAAGATTCTTAACGCAATCGGAAAAATTCAAGGGACCAAGGAGAAGTACCTGGAGAATTCAAGGGACAAAATTCAAGGGACCAAAATTCAAGGGACCAACAAGAAGTACCTGGAGAAGTTCTGTCAGAACTAGCATTTGACCCATGCAAAAGTATTTGCGGGAGGATCTAAGGTCTAAGGTAAGGTAAACAAAAAGTGGTCATAATGGACAAGTGGTCTCTATACAGGGGTGGTTGCTATTACAGGTTCGACTGTAAATTTTTTTTTTTCAATTTTCAGAGTGGCAGACTGTACCAGCCGTCAGCCGGCATGTGTCTGGAGTTCCAGTCTTCTGGTAAAGGTTACGTCCACATGTCCATCTGTGATGACTCCCCAGCACAGCAGTGGAGATACATACTGCTATAGAAGCTGTGGTGGAAGGTCTCTATTCTTTTAGAAAAAAATCCATGAAAAGTTGAGGAATATATTGTGATAGGGAAATGTTGTGGAAGATTCCATGTGGTGCTATGCTATATGAAAGATATCAGTCCATTTAATGGGCTACAGGGAGAGCCTTAAGAGCCATTTCTGTAATCCAGTGGATGGGAAAGGTCAGTAGGTAATTCTAAAGACTAGGTATTAGACTTCAGTAATAGATATGTACATAGTGTGTTGCACTGTGAACTGCAAAATCGTCATTGCCAGCAGCCAGTAGTAGTGCTGCATACCGGTTCACTGGACTTGGATCTGGACTTGTAAGAATGTTTAGGTTCAAGTCCAAAAAAACCTAAAAAAAGTCAAGAACCGAGTCCGGACTTATTACCATACCGTAGATTGCAAAATCTTTTCTGCAAAATGAAGAAAACATAGCCATTGGGCATCGTCAAGTGTCGGCCTCCATGTTTTGTGACCAAAGTTTCACCCAGACAACATTGCAAGGTTGCCAACTTGCAATTTTGTATATGCCATGGGTTTAGGTCTGGACTTACAAGTCCGGAACTGAACCTAGACCTCTGGACTTGAATCCGGACCTGAACCTAAATGTGGGTTTAGGTATGCAGCACTAGCCAGTAGGCATGTTTTGTTGTCCAGATTGTTCTTTAACAATGTATTGTCATTTGTACATTTGTAATTCATTTGACTAGATTGCTTGCCACAGTAGCATGTACATGTACACTGTAGGTACAAACTGTCAGAAAGGTGCCTCGTGTGTGATCTTTCATACATACTGGAGGTGTACGTTTCATTCCAGAGAATTCCTTCCAGAATTTCCATGTCAGTGACATTGTGTAAATGTTGGTAATGTTAATCTTCTCCTGTAGTACTTAGGCCACACCAATTTAATTTCTTGGTTAACGGATTTTTCTAGAAAAATAATGGAGTGGGCTGGCGAAAAAATAAAAACAGGCCTAGGCATCCTATTATGACCCAAAATAGTACGATAGGAGCCAAGAAGTCAACACACCAGGCGGGTACAAAATTTAAACAATGAATTTTTAACTTTTAATGATACCACTGCATTGAAAGATGGAATAACTGTAACAACTAGGATGAAAAGGACTGTTTTCAACTGTTCAGGGCAAAATATGAGCATTTTGCAGTTGATTCTGAATTTTTATTTTTATTTTCAAATCAGAAAAAAATGAAGCGGGCGAATCCGTTAACCAAGAAATTAAATTGGTGTGGCCTTATGCTGAGTAAACAAGGTTCCTTACATAGCTATATGATTGCAGTGACAGCAGTTTTGGCCAGAGGGCAGTATTGTTACAGTGAAAGAGTGAGCAACTACATGTATAAGTAAGGTTTCCAGTTGTACCCTTGTTAAGTTGGTCAATTACATGTATAATGCTGCTGCTTTTCTTAACGTACATGGTGCATGATCCATCCTTCCTTTCCAACAACGTACTTTCAAAGAATATCCTGAAAAAACTTGCCAGTATTCTTATATGCCAACTTCTCCCCATTGAATTCTGTTATATGCAAAGTATTTTTAAAAGTATTCATTCAGTCAACCCCGGCATCAAGGTATCTTTCCGGTAGAAAGACGTGTTACAAGTATACAATGTATACGAACACAAGAAATTATGTTAAATTTGGTAGGTGCTGTGTAAAAACTAGAACATTCCCTTAACTTCTGAATCAGAACTGTATCATGTCTTTAGTGAAGGCTTGCTCCTTTTATTTCATGGCAAGCTTAAGGAGAACTGTATAGTGTAGCTGCTCTTTTACATCTGTGTAACATGTGGTTTAATATTTGGGAAAAAGTCGTGGCTTGTTATGGAAAATTGTAGTGTAGGGACTGCATGCAGTGCACCTGACCATGTACCAGTAGTTGTCTTCCAGTCTTCAAAGCAAAACTGGCTATCTGGTCACAAACATGCACCCGAGTATTGTTATTGTGTAAATCTGTGACATAGACATCTAGAAATTAATAATTTGATTAAAATAAGTGCAATAATCAACTCACTTGAATGTGAAACCTGTTAAGATGTTAATTGAATTGCAGATTAATTGATTTCTTGAAATATCAAACATATTAGAAGAAAACTTTGTTGACATTACATCACAAGATGTAACAAAAAGTCCATTTAAGCAGTACACTGACTTCAATAATTATAAAATACCGAAATATACAGAACAACATGTACATGTACAAGCAGTTCATGAGTATAAGTAGATATTCCATATCATTGAAATTTTTTTTAATCTGTTATAATATTGTGTAATTAACTTGTACATACTGTAAAGTGGAAATGTTAATGTTATGAGAATAAGGTGTTATTCCGGCCATGACAAGGTAATCTGATTTGTTGGTATAACAGAAATTAAAATTAGGTGAATATGACATCTGAAATTTATGGCAAAACCGTATGACTGTATTTTTCTGTAGTAATTATTTTGTCCAAGCTTTCTCTTGTTCTTTGACACAAGTCTTGTGCTACTTAGGCCAAAGCAAGTACATTTTATGGATGACATCCTCCACAGACTCCAAATCTAATGCGAGCGGGCGAAAAAACAAACAAGGCGGGTCCAAAAAAACAAGGGTCCTACATTTTCAAATTTTGACTCAATCATTGTACAAATGGTTTTGATTCAGTGAGAACATCACATATACACAGCCAGTATCACATATCACTGCATCAAAGTAAGAAACAAAACATTAAATCAGAGCCTTTTCTTGTCTCCTCTCTTCATAGTTATCTGCCATCCACGTTCTGGCATGGCATCAGACATCTTTGCCCATTTTCGGCATGTTGACCACTGTCAGAGGGCAACAAAATTTCTTGTTTTTTTTTCCAAAATCAGGCAAAATTAATGAGCGCGCTGATGTCATCCATAAAAATTACTTGCTTTGGCCTTAAGGTTGTTCAATGAAACACAGTGGCAGGCAAGATGGCTGTTAAAAGATCATAGTTTTATTTTATGTATCTCTGTTCTTGGCAATGGAAAAAGGCCATACACCTACACCATCTACTTGTAGGCTACCATGACTAACTATGCTGTAAATATTCTAAGCTTGTATGAACAGAAGAAAAGCCTGTATACTGTTGGATTCAGGTTTAGGCCACACACATTTGAGTGTGACATCTATTAATTCAAGTTTGTGTGGTGTTAAAAAAGCCCATGTAGGTAACATGCTTACAGAACATTGCAGTGCATGTGTGATCTATGAGTGAACACTAAAAACATTGTTTGTTACATTATACAAAATAGTGTTAAGATGTGATGTTCAAATACAGATAATAAGCTAACAACGGTGGGTTTGGTATGGCCAAATGGACATAAAGCTAGTGAACGTTTGAATTAATGTTTCTTTGCTTTATTAGGATTTCCATCAGTGTTACATAAATTTCACACTATTCTAACAGAATTCAGTTACAGAAGCCTGCTACAATACAATTTCATGAAATGTAAAGAGCAAAAAGCAGGAGAGGAAATACAAAGTAATCATAGTACAAATATATATTACAGATTAGTTTAAGAATAGCTGTTTTACTATTAATACTATTATTAATGAAGTGAAATAAAACTCAAATTTGATATTTTGTCCATTTACAAAGATTTTGTGTTAATTGATGAGTCTGCACAGTATTATAATACTAATTGGTGGCTAACACAATGAGGTTTTCTCTTTTACACATACATGTTCTATATGTCTAGTCTTCTAGATCTGTATTACTTGATATAGTAATTTTGAAGTAAATTGATTTTATTTACTTGTTGTTCCAAAAATATTCTGTTAAAACCTGAGAAAATTGTCCGGATAGGTTTCGACTTCAATGCTATAAGAGTAAATTCACCTACAGGCCCATTTTGGGTACATTTACACATGTAAATACAAGCCTGTACTGAAAACATTTGAAATTCAATGTCCTATTTTCTTTCACTTATTGTTTGTAAATAATTGTCAAATTATAGATCTTTCTGTGATGTAACATTATACATGTATAATATTCATATTTCTTCTTTAAACAATGTTCAATCTGTTCACAAGGCACTGTGTTCTTGTTAAGTGTGAAGGAAATATACATTGAAAAGTGTCAGAACTGGCTAAAATGTCAATAAACTACTGAACCAAAAGATTGGTTTCTATGTGAGTTGCTGCTATACACAATTAAGGTGTTCTAAGACTTCTCTACTTGGAAATTAGCCTGAGACAAAGAATCAGTGCCCTTGTATTTATATAAAATGGGATCCAAAATCTTAACAGTAAATGCTTAGTGTCAACACTTGAGCGCCATAATTACGAAGCTACACTACATGTAGATTTTAGGCAAAATTTAGTCCACGCCAACTATAAAAAGGCCAGTTCCAGTGCCTTATTGCAGTATAGTCATTGCCTTGGCATTTCCTTGGAGAATATTTTACAACGAGAACCTTAGGAGAAGATGCATCTCTATGGAGCTACTTCAGCTAGCCCCTGCTTCGGGTGGGGAGGGGGGGGGCAGGTGTTTTTATCCCTCCAGATCTGTCCATTGTCGTTCGGAAGGCTTAATTTGTGGCACTTCTTCCACCCCAATGAAGCAAACATTGCCGTGCTTAGTCGGGGAGTTGCTGGTAGAGGGCGCTGTATGGGTTCGGCTGACAGAAGGTAAGGGACAGCGCGACTGGTGGACGGCGCTTCGGCTGGTACAGTGTACGTTTTTTCCTGCAGTACCGAGAGACGTTGATAGGATGTGCGGCTGCTAACACATTCAGGCACAGGAGCACGATATACACCTGGTAAGAAAATGGTATTGAAGGAGAAAAACAAAACACTACGCAACGACACTCTTTTATAATTTGCTTTCTCGGTTTAGTGTGCTCTGTAAATTGAAAAAAACTTTTGCTCAAATACTGCACCGGTACCACAGTTTACATTTCATGCAAACGGCAATTCAGAAATTGCATGGATGCGTACTGATTCAACTCTAGGCCAAATAACCTGAATTTTGGTGTGAAGGTAGAGTGAACAAATGCCCCCAGGCGCTTTCTTTATTTGTTTGATATAAGGCTTTAAACTCATGTATTACAAATGGCAGGGTACTGTCCTTGGTGCTGAAATTCTGGTTAGCGGTGTTTTTCATATACAGTTTTTTGGGTCCCGCGTCCTACGGGTTGGATACATTTTGACTTGATCGATATATTTACGAATTATATATATCCCATATAAGGTAAGGACGATGATAAAGAACAAAAAACACCAGTTTTATCACGTTAAAAAAGATTTGCCAGCTTGTTGCAATAGGAGGGCAGCAAATTTGGCTCATTACATCCATATTTGTACGGGCTGCGCGCACATATGGAGACCTCTTGCGGAAGTTCAGTGAGTTGC